CAACCTTCTGGATCATATTCACTTTGACAACAACAGTCCATCAGAATCATGGTATATTTGCTCCCATTATGAGAGATATTTCTTAGAAATTTACAAAGGTGTTTTATTTCTAATGAGATCATAAATAATTGGGCATCTGGTTGATTTTAGAGGTGGGAGTAGATTTATCCAATCAATACCAAGTAATTCCGATAAATTAGTATAGAATACACATTATTTGGGCATTCCATTCTTTAACATCACTAAAAAAGTTCTATATTTAAAAAAAAAACAACAGTTTTCTGCCTTCAAAAAGAAATGTCAAGTTATTTTAGTTGTATATAACAAATGTGCTAAATGAGGTGTAATTTTTATAACATTGTAAATGTTCTACTATTTTATTAGAAAAGTTGATTACCTGAATCCTTTTTACTTTCTCGGATATATGAAGTACAGAGAAAGGGTTGTAATCGTGCAAAAAAATCGAGATTTTCGGACATCTCGACGTTTTACATCTCACTGATATGGAAAAACATAATTTTGCAATCTTGTCCGTATGTGTGTGTATATGTGTGTTTGTGTGTATGTCTGTGTGTGTGTCTGTGTGTCTGTAAACACGATAACTTGGTACCGTTACAGCTAGGTTGATGAAATTTCATATATAAATATTTTATCAAAATCATAGATCAGTATCAACTTGTGAGCGATTTCCGATAATTGTGAGTGGTACTTTTTTTTACTTTGAATTTTTCAAAAGCCTATAACTTGAGTACTATTTCAGATAGATAAATACAATTTCACATGTAACTAAAAGATCTAATCCTCTACCTTTTTAAAACATTTGAGTAATTTCCGTTGAACGCTATTTCCGATTTTACAAAAACTAATTTAAATGAATAAAGTACTAATAATATTGCGCACTATTATGCACATTTCATTTGGAGTTTACTTGGTGTGCAATTTTTTTTCTACGAGAGTTTATTCTATTTTAAAAACTTTAATTATTTAAAATGGAGTTCCCATCCCCTGTTGTTTTATATAAGAATATTCGAGAAAACTATTGAAGATCATTCCAGGTTTATTATATTTGTGTTACTTAAATACCTTCATATTGTTAATTTATAGTTAAACTTTGAAAATGGAACAGAATGACTTAACCAATAATGAGTAAAAACAAATATTTAGAAGCCAGTTAGTAAGTTATATACATTTTTTCAATTCAAAATTGTGAACGGGTGTTTTACACCCAGTTGCTAGGGACCGTATAAAAAAAAATTCAAACCCTGATTTTAAAAAAAAATGTTCGCATTTTTTTTAAAATTTACAACCTCCAACTACCTCATAGATGGCAATAAGGCCCAGAAAAATTTATAAAACGAGACTCGAAACATGAGCAAAAATATAGCGTCACATGGTGGATAACACCCAGTCGCCGAGGGAAGAGTAGTAAATTTAGTTTTTTTCTACATTTGGTTCACTAAAATGACAAGTTTGGAAAATGGACTATTTTTTTCCAAAACCATCAATTTTATTTTTTAAAGTATTAATTTCGATAATAAACACTTTTAGAATATTACACTATGGCGATCAAACATACATACATGCGTTGAGCCAGATGGTCTATTTCAATGTTATTAAATTCTAAAAAATAAAAACTGGGTTAACAATATAATCAAAGTAAATGCTATTATAATTATAAACCATGATTTACATTTATGTTTTTTTTTATTTTATTGCATAGCTCAACAAAGCTTCATTGTTTACTAAAACTCTACTTTAGATCACATCACTATCAATAGAAGTTTTAAAAATATATGATAAGATAAATTTAAAACGGTTACGTTAACGATACGTTAAATTTGGTCTTGTACTGTTACGATACAGCTAATATCGGTTTATATGGGTTTGATACGACATTTAGATTGATATTGTGGTATTACAACTTTCAAAATACATAACTTAGCAATCTGTGAACATGTTACGACTTATGTGCACTTTAAATAAGTATGTGCACAATTCCTAAATGTAAGACATTATTTCCACATGATGTTAACATTGAGCCGATGTGCACAAGTATATTTGAATACAATATTCCTCTTTAGACCTAGCAATTAAGTGGGCAGATAAAGTAGAATTCATGTTTCTTGACCTCGGTATGTCACTAGGAGAGACAACTCCAAAATCAAACAACTGCTGCCTTCTAGTTTGTTCATTGTTGGACAAAGGCTATGGATGCAAATCAAAAAGAAAACAAGGGTGAAATCGGAGTCAATGGCCTCAAAGGGGATCCCTTCCAACACTAAAATTAAGAAAGAAGAAGAAGATAAACAAATAAACCATTTTATTATAAAAGTCTTTATAAAAATAACAGGGGATTACTTGGACGGATGATCGAATGGAAGTGCGTACGATTGCCGGATGATGGGTGGTCTAGGAAATTCTGAAAAGAAGTGATTTTTTTACCTAACGATACATATTATATAATACGTTAGGTGTAATATATTTCTGATGGACAGACACATGAGTGTAAGGGGGGGGGGGGGGGCTGAGAATTCTGTCAGAGTCATCTTTAGTTGAGAGGTGGGGACTCGGTCAAACAAGGTGAGGGGTGAAGAGTTCATAGGAAAATCCGCGTGAAATGTAACATTAAATCTCTTCTACGTCACGATAACTATAAAAATAACTAATCTGCATTCAGAATGTTTCAATGTAAAGATGTAGTGCTCGTTTAATAAGAATCACAGCGTTGCGGATCATTTAATCACTGCATTCAAAGTGGACGTAAGTCAACCTGGTAGTGGTCGAAAAAATGTGTGTGGACGTCATAAATAGATCTAAACTTAAATGGCGCAGTACGTAATTGGTATTTGTATACTGAGAATGGGATGGTCGTTGGGTCGTGTTTATTGCGAGATTGGTTCGTGTTGCGCAATACAACCGACAGACCGTTTTCCAACGGAAAGCTGGGTCGTCTAGTTATTTCTAAACTATTGATTTTAATCATCTACATCAGAAAATGATAACTCCAGACAAGAATTATTTGATCATACATAGCTCGTGTTGTTTATAACAGATGTTGCTTAGATCGTATAATTGATATGACAATATCCTTGATGTCACGTACAGATAAGTCTACCAAACATACGCCATTAAGCAACGTTATTTTAAGGATTATAGCCGCACAAACATCCTCGCATGTATTAAAACTTTTAATTAACATTTCATCTTGTATATAAGCCATCTCATTGCTACAGTAATCCATTTCATATCAACGTTCTACACAACAAAGCTACCAAAGTCACAAAGAGTTTGTCTCGTTCTCCAAGTCTATATATTAAGCCATGTTGCCGTTCTTTCTCGTCTGTCTACTGCCTGTCGTAGTACTAGCACAGAGTACGGCCACCTACACCAACCCGTTGTTTCAAGCCATGGACACCGACAGAAACAACCAAATTAAAGTAGAGGAGCTTAAAGAGTGGATACAGGTTAGTCATTTTAACATGTTAACTACAGACTCCATCCAACAATTCATTCGAATTAATCTTTTTGCTTGTTTTAACATAGAACGGCGTGGCCAAAGGGTGGGTAGAGCGCTAGACTGCTAACCCAAAAGGCTCGAGTTCGATTCCGGGCTTAAATTAGTTGAACGGCCATGAATCCACCCAGCTCTGGTAAAATAAAGACTGCTGGGCATAGCGTTGGCCGCTTTATCTTTTCATACGTTGAGGTCATAGAAACAGATGAGCCTACGGAGACAATAGACAATAAAGATGCACAACTCTCTTAAACTAACGGCGTTTGCTGTTTCTACTAGGCTATGTGTACATTGTACCAGTAACTGATGTTTGTTGTGTGTCTACAAGCGCCAAAACTGAAAGTCAACTTTCACACTTGGTTATTTGAAGAGGATAAAACATTATTCTACTGTGTGTCTTTTTTTATTAATTTGGTGCCATCCGGTCATGTCTACACATCCGACCCCACCACTCTACCCCTCAGTCTCAATAAACTCCCCCTAAATATTCCATTGCTTTGCATCTATAGCTTAACTATTTCCCGATCGCTTCATTTTGTTAACGCAAAACTCACATGCATATCATAGTTCTTTTTATTTATTACTTATGCTTATAAAATATAACAATTTAACCGATATACACTATACTTTTATTGTACCACTAATGAATATCTACCCATGATTAGCATGTGTTGATATTTTAATCATAATTTAAATAACTAGTCCAACTGTAATAATGTACACAGTGTTTCCTCACCGCTTCACGACACATACGTGTACTTAAGATAATCCTTGACCAGTGTTTCTTCCAGACTTTTTTTCTCTAGGGAGGGGGGGCACTGGAAATTTTCGGGGGGGGGGGGGCGGTAGACTTTCTTCGGGGCGGCGAAGAGATGCCTGGAATAAACTCTATCCTTAACGCTGGGCTGATCCTTTATTGCACACATACATGCGGGTAATAATAGAACAATTACAATTGTATTATTTTAAAGAGAAAAGAAAAATGTCAACAAACCTATATTTTATTTGCAAATAATCAATATTTAAATCTGCTCCAAAAATATTTTTTCGTCTTTACTGTTCAGGTTCTGCATTGCCGTTGTAATAAATGGTTGACTGACGAAAATCCACTTTTGTTTAGCTATAAGTTACTTATAACTGGTCAGTTTTTGCACGGCATTACGATCGTTTAAATAAAAATGCAAAAGTAGTTATATTTTATTTAAAATGATAGTTCTATGTTCTTACTTTGATATTAAATATGTGAGATTACTTTTAAATATATTTATATTTAACAGTTGCACTAACAGGTTTTTTTTTTCCACAATCGTATAATTGTGTATCCAACTGTTGTATTTAACGCGGTCAAGAAAAGATGCATTCAGTTTTGTTTATTTAATTTTGAAATTAATATAATTTAAAAAAAAAAAGCTTTATTAATCACTGCACTGATATTCACTATATAACACACGCGCCTTCTTCACTCTACCGTTGTTTTGTCCAGAAAATCAACACCAAGGCCAACTACCTACAGTTTATGTCTAAAGTTGCCGAGTACTACTGGAGTTTGATTGACTTCTACAACGACGGCCTGTTCTTGGACTACGACGTTGGAGTTTGATTGACTCCTACAACGACGGCATGTTGCTCGACTACGACGTTGGAGTGCTCTTCAGGAAGCTGGACGCTAACAGCAATAGGACGGTAGATAGGCTGGAATTTTCAACGTGAGTATTTTGTCTATCAGTTTAACAGCAATAGGACGGTAGATAGGCTGGAATTTTCAACGTGAGTATTTTGTCTATCAGTTTAACAGCAATAGGACGGTAGATAGGCTGGAATTTTCAACGTGAGTATTTTGTCTATCAGTTTAGCTCGAACTAGGATATGTTTGGTGTTATTTGTTGTTCGCTCATACTTCTCTTAACTTGCACTGTTTGCATCTAATGTTTGTTTCCAAGGTTTTACAAATTAAGTAAGGATCAAATCAATAACACATATTATTTTGCAATTGAACAGCCTCAAAACTTCAAAACATAGTGTTATTTTATTTAGTATTCTTTTTAAAAGGTGATAAGTACAGAAAATACGTTAATTATTTGAATTTAGGCCTATATAATTGGATACAGATATATAGATAAATATGGGTTGCCTTTTTCTCAACTCGCTGATCCCCCTAATACGAAATCCTGTATACGCCTTTGTATGTATATACCAGTTCAGGTTTATAACAATAATCCTACTTGAAACACAAAACTAATCTAATTCGTAACTCATTTTTCTTATGCAACAGACTTTGATATTTAAATATTCAAAAAACAATATCTATCGTTTATTTGATTATAAACCGGAATATTGTCTAAAGTTTCGGATTATGTGAGTGACATAGTTGTTTAATATTTTAACAAATCTAAGTGTAATGTAGTATACGTGTTTACATACCACACAACCCTCTTATCGATATCCATTATATTCCTCACAGTTGGTTCGATAGGGCTTCTGTACAAGCTTTGTCAGCCTAACAGGAAATGTGCTACAACGGGTAAATATCTCGATACTGACCTTACGACACCATAGAATATAACAAAGTGGAACTGTTTAATCACATAACGTTTGAACATTGTTTAAATGAGCTGGTTTCGACACATTAAAATTTTAATTTGAATCGTGTTGTGTTGTGGGAGTTGTTTATAGATTGTAGATTTAAACCTGGGTTTCCTTAGATTTGTTATACATAGCAAGACAAACCACAAGAAATCAAATTGTTTTTAAAACGTATCAGTAAGCTGGTCGGACGACGTCAGGTTGGCGACGTGTAACAACCCAGTTTGGAGTTTCTTCGCGACAGTTGGCGTTAAGGGGTTAGGTTGTGTTTATTTACATTTATTTAACATTAAAAGCGATATTTTAGTTAACTTTTATATTCGAATTATATTGTAAAAATTTAAAACAAAATAATCTTAAATTTATTTAAGTTACTTCCCATTAGTACACTTGAGATAATTATAGTAGGCAACTAATAAATATTTTCTTAAAAGGTAAAAAAAAAAAAATTACATTCATTTGTAAAATTATTTTTATAGGCTACATCATTTATTATAAAATACAAAAATTTAAATATTATTGCGTTATATTCTGATGTTGTCTGTCAATTCTACGTTATTGATTTTATTAATACTTTTACCCAGTTTTATATACAACCATTAATTAACTAGAATAACTGATTACAGAAGAGAAAGGAATTTAAATTTATCAATGTTTCTATACCTCCACGGTTTTCTAAACTATATCACGGGTCGGCAACTTGCGGCTCGCGAGCATCATGCGGCTCTTTTGATATAAAGATGCGGCTCTCCAGCTCCTTGAACAAATACTAATAATCTTAATAAAAAATAAAATATTTGAAATAAAAAAAAATTGTTAGTGGCTCTTTAAAACCAGGGAAATATTGAAAATTGTAACTTTTGGCTCTTCCGCTTCAAAAGGTTGCCGACCCCTGAACTATATCGATTATTTAGACAATTTAAATGCTCAATAAAGACTATTTGAGTTAGTGCTGTTTTAAATAGCAAAATGTTTGGTAAGGTCAACTAATTTGTATCAATTAAAATGATTTTACCCATTGACAACAAAAACCGCAAGCAAAGTATTAAACACTGTATGTGTATATATATATATATATATATATATATATATATATATATATATATATATATATATATATATATATATATATATATATATATATATATATATATATATATATATATATATATATATATATATATATATATATATATATATATATATGTATATATATGTATATATATATATATATATGTACATATATATGTACATATATATATATATATATATATATATATATATATATATATATATATATATATATATATATATATATATATATATAAATATATATATATACATATATATATATATATATATATATATATATATATATATATATATATATATATATATATATATATATATATATATATATATATATATATATGTGTGTATATATATATATATATATATATATATATATATTTATATATATATATATATATATATATATATATTTATAATCCTAATCAAATATCATAGTATTGTAATAGAAATGTAAGTGGCCTTTTAAAACTGGGATTTTTTTTTTAATTGTAACTTTTGGCTCTTCCATCTCAAAAGGTTGCCGACCCCTGGTATAGACTAACAGCGAAGCAGCTGCAGGCTATGTTAAGTAAGTACCATGGTGGAATCTAAACTGGATGATAGTTTAAGAAATGTTTTGATCTTTTTCTTTTTTATTTATGAATTCAATTGTTTTAAACATTTAAATCAGTAATAATTTATTTGATAGATTTTACACAGCATCAAAAGACATAAACATCAATTGCATATATATAATAATCAAAGGGAGGAAATAAAATGGCATAAGAACTAGACTAAAATAGGGTGTGCAAACTAGGTTTCTCTTGACTGCTTAGTTTACTGTGCTCCGTCCTTAGCTGCGGAGTCAAAAGTTCACATTGTAGCCACCTATGGACAGAAATAGAAACGACCGTGGGAGAAGTGTCTCTGTAATACACAACCTGGTCTATTATTCGAAATCTTTCCATACATTTGTCTAAAATAAATTTGACTTTACCTTTAAAAACCACAGGTTTTATTTTTTAAATTTAATATATAATTTTATTTATTGCAAAATACACACATTATACCATGTAGAAAATTATTGTATTTTATTAATGTCGTAAATAATAATATCAATTACAATTTGTGTGCATTTTTTTCAGTATGATCTATAAAAATTATAATTTTACTGGACTTTAAAGTCATTAGTTGTGTAGTTTCCCTTGATAATTTTAAATTTACAAATTGAAATCATTTAATACACATTTTAAAAGTAAACAATTTTTTTAACATTCAACTTTGGCGTCAAATCGCATCTCAGGGGTCGGCAACCTGCGGCTCGCGAGCCGCATGCGGCTCTTTTGATATCAAGATGCGGCTCTCCAGCTCCTTGCACAAATACTAATAATCTTAATAAAAAATAAAATATTTGAAATAAAAAAATGTTAGTGGCTCTTTAAAACCAGGGAAAGTTTGAAAATTGTAACTTTTGGCTCTTCCGCTTCAAAAGGTTGCCGACCCCTGAGTTATAATATTTGGTTGAAAGTGTCTCCTGTTACAAATCATATCATTAATACCCCAGGGGTGTCGAGGTCGTCGGGTTGGTAAAGCTCATGTTTGCTTTACCGGCATGTCCCGAGGTGGAACCCCTAAGTAGATGAGTCTCGTTAGCTGGAAACAGCAACCCATCTAGGAGAGAAAATTCCAATATCAAACAGCTGCGGCTTTGTAGTTTGTTCTTGAAAAAATAAAAGTTCTGGAGCAAAACTATGGCACATAACATATGCATTTTTTTTTCTTGGATGGAAACAGGCTATGTGGGGGAATCAAGAAATAAAAATTGGCTAAACTTGCACACGTTTTGTAATGAAATGGGCAGGTGGTTGGAACATATATAAGTGATTATCTGTTTGCTTGATACACCCGAAAAAAAAGAGGAAATAATCAAAGGTAAAGGTTGTTAAATGATTGATTGTTTCCCTTGTGTGATAAAGAATATAGATTTCATTTTATTAGCACATTTGAAAAAAAGTTTATATTTGTTACGTATATTTTAATGCAATATTCGGTATGTAGGCCCCCTATATTTCAAATGCAAAATAGTTTTACACGATGGATTTGTGCCAGCCTTAAGGTATCGCCCTGGCACTCACCATTGTAGAGGGACGGATGACCCAATTGCCACCATTGACTGACCGAAAACATACAAAACAACTTACGTATATTCTAAATTATCCCCCCCCCCCCCCCCGAGCCCTATGTTATATAAAACAAATGTAAAGACCACAAAACGATAAAAAATCTAGTAGTTTAGAAAGAATGAGAAGACTACACATGTAACAAGGTGTTTTCATTTTTGTTTCTGCCTCAGACATGTAATATTGGTCACGTGTATTATCCTTGTCTCAAAGTCGACCGATATTGCGTTACTTTGCTCATCATCGGACTTATGAGAGCTGTTGTAGATTTAACTTGATAGTTATTTTTTCACTCTAAAAAATGTGTACAAATTGTTCCGGAGTTTAGAAAAGTACGCACTCAGTTTTTGAAAATAAGATTCTGATTCCGGAGGGGAGAGAGTTGGATATGAATTCCAGTAATGGGGGAGGGGTGGGGTCGAAGAACACAGCGAATCATCTTAGTGTACAAAAAGGTGTTAGTTTGACCGTAGCTGTATGGGATACAATTTTACCTGATGTCGGAACATGTACATGTTGTGAAAGGTGACTGCTTTAATTTTTGTTTGCCTCAAACATGTAATTTATAGCGTCAATTTGCCGTGAAGGGAGAGAATAGGTTATACATACCTGAGGGTGGGGGGATGGGGGAAGAGGTCGGGCGGATAATGCATTCGCCACATCTAAATATACACTGTGACTTTAGTCGGGTGAAATTGATGGGGATTCAATGTTTCCTGATATTGGAATGGTGTCATGATACGAAGGACGACTGCAGAGAGACAAGGTAAAACATGAAAAAAAAACATTTCTTTTTTTAGAATATCGTGAGTTTAGTAGATTGTTACTTTACTATATAGTAAAACTAGAATGTCTCGTGAGTTTATTATGTAGTGAGTTTAGTGTGAATTCGTATCGTAAATGTAGCATATTGTGAGTTTATTATATCGTAAGTTTAGTATATCGTGTAATTTACAGCGTTAGTTTACCTTGCCATGTTCTCTTTAGTATTACGGTTTTCATCATCGGCTTGTGAGGACTGATATAGATTTACAATAGTAATAATTTTTTTTCTGACGTACTTTAATTAATTTAAGATAGTTTACTAATATATAATACAAAGGGTCTAATTACACATTTTTTTTCTCACTGACACTAAAAATGCATAGTTGTGATTAATATGTGATTTAACTATTTGTTGTTAAAAAAGAATAAACTATGCTTTTCTTTACTCCGAAATTTATTTCAACTCCACTTATGAGGCCATACCTCATCACCCCACCCACCCACACGAAATATAAAATTTAAAGACATACCCTTCAATTTTTTTAATCCTTTAAAAACAAAGTTTTTTTTTTGTTTTTTTTTGTATTAAAATAATTGTATTTCAACGACACAAATTTACAGATGTACTAAGTTTAGTTATCTCCTTTCTTATCTTTTTTTTTTCTTTTTTTCTCTTTTTTCGCTTTCTTCTCCCCATCAACAGTTGTATCAAGTTCAGACCCAACACTTGTATCCACCTCAGTAACTACACTCTCATCATTCTCTTCCTTGCTCTTCTTCTTTTTCTTCTTCTTCACTGGCTCATATTCCCCATTTGCTTCTACCTCTTTTGCTCGTTTTTTCTCTTTTCTTTCTTGTTGTCTATGCGTTTTTAAGACTTTCTGTTTTGCTTCTTCAGCTTCACTAACAGCTATCTTCATGACATCTATGTTATTGGCAGGATTTTCTCCAGTTTCATAGAACTTCAGCCTGTCTTCAACATGCTGCTTTAAACGCTGACCAATCACTGCAGTTGGGATGTCTGAAAAATTGTCAACCCTAGATG